GGCTGGCCTCGGCCAGCAGCAGCAGCAGCAGAAGCAGCAGCAGCGCTCTGGGGTGGGGGGCTCGCTTTTCGGGGCGCGCTCCGTGGCCGCCCCCTTCAGGGGGGGTCGTGGCCGCCCCCCAGCCCCGGCGCGTTCCACTCGCTCCAGCGGGGCTCGCTGGGCGAGGCGCGGGCCTGCGCTCGGGGCTGTGTGCCGGAGCGTCCGGCTTCCGCTCCCCGTGCTGTCCCGGCGAGCGCGGACTGTGCCCGGGCGCGGGGCCCGCTCCACCTGCCAAGTGGCGATTTCACGGGAGACAACAAAGAAAGAAGCCGTTCCTTTCTTCCTGAACCAAACTGTGGATGATCAGCAGCCGATCCGCTCCTTCTCTCGGTCACTCTCCGCTGTCCTCCTCAGGCACACATTTCACTCGCTGTCCCTTGCAGTAGTAAAACTTTTTTCGTCCTTGAAGGCGTGGCGATGCTGGCGGCTTGCGTGTGCGGACAGGAGAGACTGCCTCCTGCTCTCCGGGTCTGGTCCTTCCAAGTTTTGCTCTGTCCTAGGAAAACTTCGTGCGATGGTGCATTTCTCTGAAGTGGCTATTGCCGGAGTTCTTGGTTGCCTCTGAAACAAGAGTCCTTTTCCATTCTCCTCGCAACAGTCACAGTCTGATGCGACATCTTTCCTTTTGGGCAGAAATGAGGAAACAAATATAACAAGGAAAAAAAATTGAACAGGAGAAAAATGAGGTCGAATGGCTCTGTTACCTTGTTGCTGAAGGCTGGGGTTGGTGTTTTATTTTTTTCCCAGCAGTTGTCTGGAGGAGGAGGAGGAAGAAGAGTGCATTGGTGGAGATGGAGGGGTGTGTGTGCATAGAAGGGATCCTGGAAACACAACCAACTCCAGTGAGCACGTTGAGCGGCTCGTAAGGGGCACGGACGGCGCTGCGCGGGCCGTACCGGAGCGGAGTTGCAGCGGGAGCTCGCTCTGCGCCCTCTTGCGCGCTCTCTTCCTCTCTCACTTTCCCGATCCCTCCCTCTCTCTCTCCCTCTCTCGCTCGCCCGCTCGCGCTCCGATCTGACAGTTCGCTCTCTGTCCCTCCCTCTCAGAGCGGGGACTGTCGAATGTTTACCCTCCGCCGCGAGCGCGCACCCACCACCACACTTTCCCAAATACAAGGAAGTCGAGCACCAGGGCCCCCGCTGATTGGCTACCCGCTGGGTGATTGGCAGGCCGGGAATGACTGGCTCAGGACGCGAGGCCCCCCTTCCGGCCGTTCCGATTGGTTGCTTTTTAATTTAGGCAGAGCATCGTAGATGCTGGAAATCTGTCGTCCCCCAGGCTCCCTCCCCCTCGCACTTTCTCCT